CTAATCGAGTAGGAGATCGACTACAGAATTGGTTTGCCCCAGAATTGTCGCATCCACGGGCAATTCGTAGAACTTTCGCAGGTCTACGAATGGTTGACGTATTTCAGTTGGAGAGTCGACGTGAAAATCGATTTTGGGGTAAATCAATTCCGTAGTCGATCCGCCAGTCGAGCTACGTCCGCCAGCACTCCTTCCCAGTCTACCTCCACATGTGATTCTGAGAGGCTTGCGATGCAGGGTATTTCGGCCATGCTCCGAGGACAGCGTTCCTGCATGCCGCTTGTTTGTCCGCTTCTTCTGTTTGGTCCTCCTCCTCTTCCTCCCTCCTTTTCCTCCTCCCCCCCAGGGCAGCGCGATGTCGCTATGGCAGTGCCGGCCGGATGGACGGCGAGTCCGCTCAGGGCCCTCATGGAGTCGCTCGGTGCGAGCGCGCAGTGGCCCCCCCTCCCCCTCTTTTTCTCTTGTCCTCCTCCCTCCTCCTTTTCCTCCCTCCTCCACCCTCTTTTTCTCCTCCTCCTCCCTCCTCCTCCTCCTCCTCCCTCCCTCCCTCCCTCTTTCTCCCTCCTCCTCCCTCCTCCTCCTTTTCGCAGTCGCCCCCCTCCTCCATCTTTTTCTCTTGTCCTCCACCCCCCAGGCTGCGGGATGTCATTTTGGCCGTGCCGGCCAGCTGGACGGCGACTTCGCCCAGAGCCGTCATGGAGCCACTCGGTGCGAGCGCGCTGTCGCCTCCACTCCTCTCGTCCTTTCGTGTTCCCCTCCTTCGTTGCCCCTCCCCCCTTGCGGCGCCGATGCGAATTCAAGACCCCGACGTGCAAGCTATCGTGTCCCCCTTCTGTCCCGGCCGCGTGGCCGATGCACCGCGGGACGCGCTACACCCAGCAGCTTATTGGAGCTGCCCTTCCCCCTCGTCTCTTTCCTCCCGCTCTTACCTCCTAGAGACGGAGTGCCTGCTAGCTTTAAATCGGGCCTGTCCCTCTACAGGAGGAATAGCCAAAGATAGTCCGAGAACAGTCTGGGGACGATTTGTCGCATTTTTTTGGAATTTTTGGAGCATGTTTCGGCCACTCTCATGTTTTCGTCCAAAATCCGCCTGCAGGAGGACGTGCCCGACCCAAGGCTAGCCCTTCTGGGGTGGGCCTGCTCTCTGCCGCCTCTGCTTGCCTCATCTTCGCCCGCCCTCGCATGCTGGAGCTCCAGCGCTGGACCAGATTGGCGCTTGGAAGATGCGGCAAGCGCAGTCTGCTGCATGTTGTGTCTACTCTCCCTCCTCCTCCTCCGCCTCCTCCTCCTCCGCCTCCTCCTCCTCCTCCTCCTCCTCCTCCTCCTCCCCCTCCTCACCTCCTCCTCCCCCTCCTCCTCCTCCTCCTTTCCTCCTCCTCCTTCTCCTCCTCCTCCTCCGCCTCCTCCTCCTCCTTCTCCTCCTCCTCCTCTTCCCACCAGGACGTCGCGGCCGCGGCAGTGGACGAGTAAGTGCCCAATTCGATATCTGGCCACCTAGTTGCGGCCCCGGGTCGGCATACATTTTGTATTCCCGCTGTCCCAGCCCATCCGCGCTGGCAGAGGGGTGCTTCTTGGCGAAGGAAGGGCATGATTTGTCCGCTGCTCGCTTAGGCTGAAAGCCAAGTATCAGCCACGCGGCCAGGACAGAGTAGTGTAGCGTTATCCGCGGCGGACGTCATGAAGAAGCAGTTTCGTCTTCCCTTCCCTTTGCGGTGATGCTCGCGGCCGCTGCTGCTCGACCTTGTGCCGCTTTGGCCGCCCATGATCGCCCCTGGCAGCCGTTGCGGAGCAGCATCGTGCTTGCCAGGCGCCGCAGTACCCATCATCACACCCAGCATGAATAGTTGGCGAGTGCGTGCGCCCTACTTTCGATTTTTCTTGATTCCTCCTCCTCATCCTCTTTCTTCGCATGTACTCGGCGTACAAGTTTACGTGGTCATTCGCGGAGTTTTTCGCAATTACGCCAGGTAAATCATCTCATACATGGTGCGGCACTTTGCAGCGCTAGTGGCTTGTAGAACAGCCGCGTTAGGTACTGCGATCGGCTTGGAAAGCAGCGGCGTTTTTGAGCGCGTGCTGCTTGCTGAAAACACCGGCCGCTCGTCTCGGCCTCTGCATGCATTTTATCCTAATCGCACGTTGTTGTTTTCCTCCTGGTGCAGCTGTTCCTGCACCGATTCCGTGGCACATGCGTCTGCCTTGCTGTGCGGGTCCAGGGTTTTTGTGTGTCGGGCCTTGGCAGGCTTGGGGAGGCTGCGCGTGCGATTGGCAGTCGGGCTGGAGAGATGCGGTGCTCTGTGAGTTCCCCTCTCCGAAATATCGCGCTGGATATACATCTATAGTAAGAGAGAGAGCGAGAGAGAGAGAGAGAGAGAGAGCGAGAGAGAGAGAGAGAGAGAAAGAGCGAGAGAGAGAGAGAGAGAGAGCGGCGGCATCACACCAACACATCTGAATGGCGGAGGGTGGGGAGGATAAGAAGGAGAAGGAGGATGCCCTGAGGAGGAGGATCACCAGGATGAGGACGACGAGGAAAAGACGAGTGGAGGAAGTGAGAGAGGGAGGGTTGGGCGGAGGGATTTGGGGGCCACTGGTAGGAAGGGTGTGGGATGATGACGACAACGGATCATCATTAGGATGATGATGACGATGATGATGAGGATGGGGTTGTGGATGAGGATGAGGATGAGGATGATACTTGTGGTGGTGGTCGACGATGATGGCGGTGGTGATGATGATGCTGATGTTGATGCTGATGCAGATGATAGTCATGAATAGGATGATGATGCTGATGTTCGTCTGGTTGTCGATGATGATGATGCTGCAGATGATGATGGTGCTGATGATGATGACGATGATGCTGCTGTTGCTGATGATGATGATGATGCAGGTGATGACGATGATGATGATGATGATGATGATGATGATGATGATGATGAGGATAATGCTCATGTTGGTGGTGATGGCGACTATTATGACGATGCTGAGGATGACGAGGAGGATGGTCATGCTGATGATTCTGATGGGGATGGTGCGGATGATGATGTTGTTGATGATGACGCTAATAGCAATAATGATGATGATGATGATGATGATGATGATGATGATGATGATGATGATGATGATGATGATGATGATGCTGATGCTGATGATAATGATGATGATGCTGATGATGGTGATGCTGATGATGATGCTGCTGATGATGATGTTGATGACGATGCTGATGATGCTGGCGATGATGCTGCTGATGATGATGCTGGTGATGATGCTGCTGCTGATGGTTCTAATGATGGTGATGATGATGACGATGATGATGATGATGATGATGATGATGATTCTGATGATGATGATGCTGATGCTGATTCTGATGCTGCCGATGATCATGATGCTGCTGCTGCTGATGATGCTGATGCTGGTGCTGCTGCTGATGATGATTCTGATGATGAGGATGCTGATGTTGATGCTGATGACGATGCTGCTGTTGTTGATGATGATGATGATGATGATGATGATGATGATGATGGTGGTGGTGATGATGATGATGATGATGATGATGATGATGATGATGCTGATGGCAATTGTGAGCATGACAATGATGAGCAAGAGGAGGAGGAGAAGGTGGAGGAGGAGGAAGAGGAGGAGGAGGTGGAGGATGAGGAGGAGGAAGAGGAGGAGGGGGAGGAGGAGGAGGAGGAGGAGGAGGAGGAGGAGGAGGAGGAGGAGGAGGAGGATGGGGAGGAGGAGTAGGAGGGGCAGAAGGCCATCCCCACGCCAGAGGTCAGGCTGGTAAACCTCGATTTCCCGATTGGGGCCGGCGACGTGCTCGCGGACAGCACCGAGGCCGAGGGTACCGACACAAGCTTCGTACACGTCCTACCGTCGAGGCCGTTGCCAACAGGCGAGGAGTGTTTCAATGGCCCCCAGCTCTACGACCGTAACCGCATGTGCTCGGAGATGTTCGAGGAATGCGCGATGAAGAGCATCACCCTGACTTCTTACCAGATAAGGATGTGCACGGAGGACCTCTAGGCTTTCCCTTGGAACCTCAAGCAGACTGCACATACGAACCGAGTGACGGAGAGGTCGGTGACGACGAAAGAAGCCGGGCACCGCCTGCACCTGACAACCGGGTCGTCACCAAGCTGATTGAGTTGGACGATGAGCCCAGCGAAGAGTTCACAATGATCGCAGAGGACGGCGAAGAGGTGGATTAATGACTTGGACCAGGCGAGCTCGCCACGCACACTAGCGAGAGAAGAGCAGGACGGACTGCAGCCGGCCGAGCAGACGGGGCCACAGCTTGTGGAACTGCTGCCGGGAGACAGCGGCGATGCGATGCGACGCCATGGCGGCTGAGCGCATGGCGGAGCGCTGCATGTAATATTGCATGGCTGAGCACCCTGCGCCCTGCACCAGCGAGAAAGCAGCCACGCGGGCGGAGGACACGGGGCAGCGGGCGCCGACGCCCGCGAACAACAGGCAGGCCGTGCGCAGGGGCCGGCAGGAGCGGCGGCCAGCGCCGAGTGGGCAGGCCCAGCCGCGTCGGCCCCCCCCCCCCCCCGAGCGCGTCGGCCAGGCCAGGCGGTGCGAAGGGATGTCAAGGTGACGCAGCCGTGAAAAAGGCGGCAGGGGGCAAGTCGTTGAGGGCTGCCCACGGTCGCCGCTGGCTGCTGCGCCGACCACCATCTCTGCATTTCAGGGACGCTGGGTGTGCGCTGTCGTCCCCAGCAGTGGGCAGAGCGGCCGCCGCAAGTTCAGCGTCGCGCGTGGTGTTGGCCTGAACACGGAGCCGTGGCCTTGGCAGTCGGTGGTGACGACCCGTGGGGCAGGGTGGAGCTTCCCTGCGTGCTGGAGGGGGGTCGCGTCGCCGCCGCTGCAGGCTCGCGCCAGTGATTGACCCGCCGCTCTCCTCGTTTCAGGTGTGGGTCGCCTCACGCGCGCGGGCCACGTGCACGCAGCTGGGCTGGGCGCGCGGGTTCGGGCTGCCCGCGCCCGCACAGCAACGCCTCCGACCGCTGCTCCGTGTTCGAAGTCCGGAAGGGGGGACGTAGGCATGTTGCTCGCACTTCGGCAGCGTTTGCCACTGTACCGCGTGGCCGCGAGAGCCGGGCCGACCGGCGCGAATCGGCACCCCAGGCTGCCAGCTTGGCACTGGCGCCTGATTGAGGCGTGTGGCGCACGCGGCGACGGACTTTCCCGCAAGAGGAAGCGGGGGATGGGGGAGGGATGGCGGAGGAGGCGGAGGTTCCTCGAAGGAGGCGGGGGAAACCGGAGGGGGGAGGGAGGGGGGAGGGAATGAAGGAAGTCGAGGTAAACGAGGACAAGGAGGACAATCATGAACTCTTCTCGTCCTCCCTTTGATCGTCGTCTTCTTCCTCCTCCTCGTCTTCCTTCCTCCGTCTCCTCTTTCTTCCTCCATGCCTTTCCTTTTCTTCCTCCCTCTTCTTCCCCACCTTCATTGTCCGTCGCTCTGCCCCTTCCTCCGAAGCGGAGGAAAGAGGAGGATGTGCAGGAAGCGGTGGCGGAGGACAATTTGGAGGTGGTGGAGGAGGATCATTTAGTAGGACGAGGTCGAGGAGGAAGATGAGGAGTGGGAGGACCAGGATAGGGACGGGGATGCCGACGATCATGACGACGGCATCTTCACGCTTTCTTGGCATGCTTTTTTTCCGCGGTGGACTTATTTTCTCCTGGCAGAGA